GGTTTTTTTAAATTTTTTTCTTTGCTTTTTTTGATAAAAAAATGCTAAAAATTAGTTTAACATTATTATATTTTATATAATTATGTATAATTAGTATACACTTACAAATTATTATGTAACTAATATACATATATTATATGTAAATATATTGTATATATTTATAAGTTATAACTTGAGAGACAGAGAATCGCATAAGTAGTCGTTGCTCGTTGGGCCAATGGGGAAGAATTAACCGTTGTAATATACTATACTTATATATACTTATATACTAAGAGAGAGAGTATACACACACACACACGCATATTATACATTTATAAGAGAGAGTATACTTATATATACATATATACTAAGAGAGAGAGAGTATATATATATACACACATACTAAGAGAGAGTATACTTATATATACATATATACTAAGAGAGAGAGAGTATATATATATACACACATATATTATACATATATAAGAGAGGTTATACATATATAAGAGAGTGTATACTTATATAAGAGAGAGTATACATATATAAGAGAGAGTATACTTACATATACATATATACTAAGAGAGAGAGTATATATATATACATACATACATTATACATATATAAGAGAGAGTATTCATATATATACTTATATAAGAGAAAGTATACTTATATATACTTATACATATATATATACTTATATAACAAAGAGTATACTTATATATATTTATATACTAAGAGAGAGTATATATATACACACATATGACATATTATACATATATAGAAATATTATATATAAGAGAGAGTATACATATATAAGAGAGAGTATACTTATATATACATATATACTAAGAGAGAAAGTATATATATACATACATACATATATTATACATATATAAGAGAGAGTATACTTATATATACATATATACTAAGAGAGAGTATATATATCGCAGTACTTGCTATTATGCACTCTGACAAATTTGCTTTTGTGTTTTGTTCTTTTCTTATCATTTTTCAGGAGGTTGGTGTACTCCAAAGTAGAGAGTCGGTTGAGTCGAAACAATGGATATACAGGTATAAGATTAATTTCTTTTGGTTTGGAGTTAAATTTCAGTTTGAAAATCTCATTTAAAATATCTTTCTCATAGATTCTTTCATAAATAAATTGTTATATTATATATTTTGCAAATTTACATTTAAAAAAAATTATTATGACATTAAGAGGCTTAAGTATAGCATTTGCATTTCATTGTCGTTCAAGTGATGTGCTGCCAGTCTAGTCACGTGTCATTAACATCTCGGGGCATAATACATCTTAAAACCGATTATATCCTAGCTTTTAAGAAACTAGCTTATAAGCTTATCTAAATATTTAGTATTGGAATTTTAACTGACGACTTGACCACGATCCTTAGCTGGATGTTGACTGTAAACTTAGTTATGATATGAAAAAATAGGCACATAAGGAAATGACAAGTATCATAGCTTGTCGAGATCAAACATAACAAAGCAAGAAGTAGATAAAGGATCAAATCAGAGAAACGAGAACCGAAATTTTCTTACTAAGTCTCTTCTCTCACCTTTTGATACAGCAAAGGAAATTAAACCCACCTCTTCACTTCTCCTTGTAAGATAAATTTAGAATCATTTCAAGTCATCAAACCTTTCAATTGCAACTATAATTAAGATGAGCACCTTGTTAGAAATTTTGGAGAGTCTACTTTAAAGTGGACAAGATAGTTAGTAGAGAGGATAGAATTGTAGAGGAAGAAAGGTATAGGCCTTGAATGAAGAAAAAGACCTGTATATATAGTAGAGAGAGTTGTTTCTACAACTTATGTCTCTACAATTTTTGCTCTCTTCAACTAGATGATATATAAAGCCCTCTCATGGGGTATTTATAGGCACCCCTGGTGCTTCTATAACACTGCACTTCTACACACTTCTTCTTTTACACACTTCTACTCTTCTGCAAAAACTTTATGTTAAATTTTTAGAGTCTTCTAGAAAATACTCAAGAAAATACTCTTATGGGTCCTTATAGACTTAAACACTCCTCATAACAAACTCAATACTCTCTAGACTTCCTATCGCTAGGACCTTACAATATTAGTCAAAAGAGTTCGACCAGTAGCTTCTGGAAAGACTAATATTTATCTAACATCCAACTGCGTCTGCGAACTGATTATATTGTAAATACATTGTTGGTTAGAACTTAGAAGCAAAAGAATCAAGGGATTCCCAATCTGAAGTGTTTGTTTTAAAGTATAAGATGTCATGAACCAATCCCCCTACTTGAATTCATCACGTACGTAGAGCTTTTCATTTCATCACAGACGGATCAATTATCATGAACCAACCCCCCTTGACTCTTACACTGTAAAGTGTAATCAAGAATCCTACTACACATGATTAATTATTACCCAAGGTAGGTAAAGCGTTATAACAATAAATATTACTTATTAGATCTTGATTAAGCTAGTGAATGATTACTTCAGTAAATCATATAGTATATCGATTGATTCTTATCTGAAACTAGTATATATAGTGTATGTTGTTGATGTCAGTTATCAAATAGGGGGGTTTAGTTATGGATTAGTGTAGAGTTAGGGTCCTCAAGCTTCTTCAGAAGTCCGGTTCTCAAGCCTGATCTTCTCTCCTGCACATGAAAGCTCGTGAGAGGCCGGAGTTGGGTTCTCTGGTTATTCCTCCGACGATCAAGTTAGGGTATGAACTTGAGCGGGAAAATGAAAGATAAGTAATGAGTAGTTATTCAAGGTTGCATGAAGTCGGAAGAAGTTACCACATGTAGTACAACTTCCTTTGTAGTAGATTGGAGGGGCATGAAGGCATTATATCTTGATGGTGAGCGCTATCATCGAAGGTATTTGGAGTGCCCACAAGCGAAGGACCGCTCAAGTATTGTGACTGTGTCCATCCTATATCTTGTTGCGAAAATAAAAAGCCCGTGGAGTCAACTTCAAGGTCCTCAAACATGCGGGAGTATACTTCGTCGTGATTCACCGATTTGCCCAAAATTTTGTGATGCTTTTCAATAAATAACTCCACCGAACGCTTCTCGTCATGCAATATTCCAATAAGACCCATATCGTAGTCACTTGAGATTTGAATGCCCCTTGTTCTGTTTGCCTTAACAGGATAATTGCAAATAACGTTGAGGTGATACTCATGTGGATTGGTTAATGTAAGTTTGTGTAAGTCATTAACAAATTATCGAAAGTACACGATTTTGATATAAACAATGGCTTCGTTACACCTCCTTCATGTACGGGCATATTATTCTCGAGATAGTTAATCTTTCCATCATATGAACAAAGAATTACGATTCGATCGTTTATCGGTACCTCTGAAGAGTAAAAAAATCCAATATCAATATTACACGAAAAACACAAAAAATATTATTTACCATTAAATCATCTAATATCGATTTTGGACATCCATAATTTGAACCAAATGTCAAACATTTATAATACACTAACTTTTGCCATTTTTGATAATTTCCCCTCTAACTTCATACACAAATTTCTTTAATTTTCTTCACAAAATTCACAAATATTTCAAAATTTATTTCAAAATCTAAATTTAAACAAGTTATTAGCATGAAATAGTGAGAATATCTAAAAAATTAGGAGAAAATTTTTAAATGTTTTACCTAAAATTTTTCGATGCCCTAATTTCTGGTGAACTCCGACAGTGACGACGGCGGGATCAATGATCGCCGGTTGGCTAACACGACGGCAGTATGGACGACGGTAGCGAAGACAGCGGCAGCGGCGGTAGAAAAGGTCTAGGGTTTGGTTTGGTAGTGAAGGAGAAGAGAGAGAGGGAGGGAGGGAGGGGGAGAGAGAGAGAGAGAGAGAGAGAGAGAGAGAGAGAGGGCTGTTGTCAGGTAAACGCGATAAAAAATCACGTGAGCCTTATATAGGCCGTACCCCAACTCCACGAGACTGGAAGTCCCGTGGAGTTACAGCCTAAATTCCAGAGAACGATGCTCTCTGGAATTTAGCCTGAAGCTTCACGGGACTTGAAATCCCGTGAAATTATAAGCTTCACGGGATTTAAGTCCCGTGAAGCTTTGGCTTCCCTAATCAAGTTACTAATGTGAGGCTTAAACTTTAGGGGATTTAAAATCCCGTGAAGTTTTTGATATTTTTTTCGCCAAATTCAACTCAGTTTTAGCCAGTTAGCTAAAACTAGGTCGAATTTGACAAATATATTTAAAATAAGTCGTTTTTTTACAAATAAGTTTCTAAAGAGATCTAAAACAAAAATTTGTCCTTAAAACTAATACGGGCAGCTATGGCACATGAAAAAGTTTATTTTTGAGGCATTGACACAATTTTTCCTTAGTTCTATACTTATTTACTTAGATTTAAGCTTCAGGAAAATGTAGAATTGGAGAAGTTTAACAATGGCAATCTTAATAGCCAGTTAATATAGACTTCACGCTGAAACCCTACAGACTGAATGCACGATTCTAAAGAAATGTATGATTCTCAAGTTAGATGCAGCTCAATCCAGCATCAATATTTTCGCATAATATCACATCTCAAAGCATAATCATATGCAACGAACCGGCAAAAAAAAAATTAGGGAAAAACTATGAAACCACAAGCGTATTACAAAGAAAAGGTTAATTAATAATAACCATGAAGAGAGGCACACGAGACAGAATGATAACAAGCAACACCCCAACATACTGTTTGACAAAGAGATTCTCAAGTAACATTAGAATAAACTTATGATGATACGAGTTCTTGTCCACCAACTTCTATATCCCTTAATTTTACTATTAGATTCTCACATTGTCACTATCTTTGAGATCTGTACATTGATACGTATCACATATGATAGCACGAATCTCAAAGTAAAATTAATGGACAAAAAAATTGATGGAGAAAGAGCTCTCAATCCATTTGAGTTTATAAAAGCGTTACTCAAGATTCTAAAGGATTCTAAACCCAACCCAGTAATCAATGAAGCGAAAACATACGGCAGACTTCAAAAAAAAAAAAAAAGAAAAAAAACAGATTCATTCCCACAAAATGTCACTACAGCCAAACCACAAATAGGAACGGGCAAGGATAAAAAGAAAAAATAAAACAGAAAACCCCACCAACTAAAAATTATTTTTCAGCCTTCATATCTCAATCTTTCTCAAACCACAGCTTGCATACACAATTATCTCAAGCTTCCACCACAGCTTACAAAAAGAAAACCTGGCATGAAAAGAAAACAGATAATTCCATTAAATCGTCGAAAGAACAATATGGTTCTCAACATAAATTGCCAATCAGTAAAGGGAAAACTTCATGACTTAAATTGCAGATAGACTCCCAATAGCGTCGCTGTTTTGAAATAACTGCACCTCTAGTTGTGTGATTTTTTTTAAAAATTCGTTTACCCCTAAAGGAAGAGAAAAGAGCCTTTTGACAGATAGACCTCCTTAGGGAAATGAAATTAACAAAAAAATTCACTCAGCGGGGTCTATCTGCAACAACAAAACTTGGGAGTGATGGTGAGTTCAAAACAGCGATACGGCAAATGGGTCTTTCTGCAATTAACCCAATTTAGAAAGAAAGAAAGCCCACCACAGTTCAAACTACAAAATACCACCCGCCCAGCCATGGTATGGTCTTTTTCACTTGGACCGCAGCATGAGCAGGCCTTACATATCTGCGAAGAAAATTCCAATAACAATTAATAAGAAACCTAATTAACGAAGCTGCAGAAAAGAAACATTAATCGTTACTTCATTTTAAAGATAGTAGAGACCATTTTCAAGCGGGCACCTTGAAGTGTGAAGATGAAAGTCATAGCAATCATAACAATGTGATGGAAATATCTGAGGCACTTAAGTTAGATCAAGATCCCTCAAATTTGGAGTTGAGGTATGAGAAGGCATATTTATCAAGTAGAGACCATTTTCAAGCGGGCACCTTCAAGTGTGTAGATGATAAGTGACCACATCCAAAGACCAGTTTTTCCTTTGGTACCAAGGATACTCATATTTTTCATATATCAATCAAACTACCAGTCATCATAATAAGTATAAACCTAATCTAATAACACTAGCGTAGAACTAAAATCAAGAAACCTACAAGAAAATTGCCCATGTTCATTAAATAATGGGTAAATTTCAGCCAAAAAAATCCCCAATAATATGGGGTGTTTCCTGTTACAGGCCCCAACACTTTGTTTTTCCTACTAAAAACAAACACTTTTCCCAGATAACACCAAAAATGCCCCCCAGGCCAAAAAAAACCCTTATCATTCCTTTCAAAAAATTTGTTTGTCAGAAACAAACCTTCAGTCTCTTAAATTTTGTTGCCACTACATGTAGGGTAGAATTTATTTTTCGTTAAAAAACAATGAAAAAGGATTTTTTTTTTTGGGCCTGAGGGTTATTTTCATCACTTTGGGGATTATGTGGGAGAAGCTTTTGGCGTTTAGTGCAGAAAACAAAGTACTGGAGAGTGGAGGGTTCTGGGGAACACCCAAAAATATTGGCGGATTTTGTGTAATAAATAAACACGTAATGATCTTCACAGATTAGGGGCAGAAAAAGTTCTAGTATGTTAAAAGATACGTAACTAAGAACTATGTGTGTGCTAGTTGGGGAAGGGGAGGGTGTGTTGGTGCTGGTGGGGCAAAGTACAAGAAGAACATCAGAGAGTCAGAGAGGAGGCATGTACCTAAAATATCTTGGGGTACTGAGCAGCCCAAAGTGCTCCAGATCAAAAGCCAAAGATCACTGAGGGCACAGGAACGAGCCTGTAGGAATGAACAGATATACACAGCTTAGTGATGGAAGAAAATTCTAGCTCCGTCAAGACATGAAATGGGAAAAATCAAAGAACTAACCTTAAGCTACTTATTAAAATACACTCATCCTCCATATGCACTTCACTGTCCAAAGTTCATCTCCGAATATCTGATACAAATAAAGGTGCAAAACATTATTTAACTAGCAAACAACTACATAAAAAACTGACAAGAAAGCTAAACAAAAGAATGCATGTGAGATATCAGAGAAAAATGACTTACCTACGAGGCTTATTCTGACGTTGCCCAAATTCATCATTTACTATCTCTGCAAAAAAGAGGCAGAAATTTTAGATCAGGACAAAAGCAACACTTGAGGACATATATATATGAAAGAGAAAGTGCGAACTGAGCTATCAACTCAGATCAAAATAACAGATAAGAAAAGATACTGTACCAAGTCTTTCTGGAGGTTTCAATGTATCAGCTGGCTTGGGTGCACTAGTTTCTCTGTTGGGAAAACAACATACAGAAAAGGGGTGTAAATTACAATTCCATGTACAAGTCAAAACAATCATGTGCTGTTGTATAGGAGTAAAGCAAATCAAAGAATTAGTTACACACGGCAATGTCATTAAAAACATTCTTCAGACAACAAAAAAATTAACTTTGCATCCAGGGACAACCTTCTGCAAGAAATTCACGAGTAGTGTCTACAAATTCCATTTAAAGGTAATGCAGCAAAGGGAAGTTTCTCTTAGAAGCAAAATACTCAATAGTGTCAGCTACAGGAATCTTTTTCCTTCATTGTGCTGTCAGAACCAGTAAAAAATGTTCTAGAAATATCAGAATTTCTGTTAGAGGCAGGCAGGAACTGCAGTACTTTCCCACCTCGCCTGGCTCAATAAAAAGGAAGTTCATGCCCGACCAAACTCGGATTCATGAGGAATCTAACAACAACAAAAAAAACTCATAAAATTTCATGCAAAATTATCCCTTAATTGAGGCTGGGGAACCTTGCTATAATTTGAAGGTTGCATCGGGCTAGACATGCAAAATTTTGCTATATGTGAGGTTCAAATTCATTTCAGCCCATCAAGATTGACATTGATGACCAACGCAGGCCCCGCACCCGCCCCCCCCCAACTTCTAAAGAGAGAAAAGGGAGGGAGGGATCTCATGACGCCATGTCAAAATTAACAAAAAACACGGCTTTATAGCCAACCGCCTAGTACATAAGAAAGTTTGAAAGAGTAAGTTCAACCTAAAAAATTCAGGATGAGTAAAAGGCTAGGCAAAGACGTCTAAATAATTGTGCCGCTGTCTCGCAAACATATTATGTTGCTGAAATAATATATAATAGAACTTGCACAAGCTTAAGATATAATCTGTACCCAACTTATATATATAAACTACTATATAATATATATATATAATATATAATATATATATATATATATATAATATATATATATATATATATATATAGAATAGATAGATAGATAGATGCATGCCAGGTTTCTTTCTAATCTGTGTTAACTTGTAAAATTCTTTAATTTTGACAACTGCCAACAAGATTGGACCAAATCAAACATATAATCCGCTCTTTTTCATTAAAATGAATACCTATAGATCAGTACTTTTTATAATAATTTTCAATACTTGCCTGATTCACATGGGTCTTTTCCCATTATCAAACCCAGTATTCTATGAACTCTGGTAGATATACTTAAGTTACTAAATAGTGTTTCTGTGGTTTCCTGCAAGAAATGAGTCCCACTCAACAATAAAATGGTAATTTATATGCAGTAGCCGAACTCTGTGCAAACAATAAGAATGCCAAAAAACTCATCCTACTGCTTAAAATCTGCCAAGGAGTACACTGTACATAAGAGAATCGAGAAATGATCTCAAAGTATAAGACTAGAATGTGCAACAATTGTCAGAATCTTCATCATTTAACAATATACCAACAGAAAAAGAATTAGAGAATCACAAACCAGCTAGAAAATTAAACGAATGCAGATGCAATGGGTGTGACATCATGAGACTACCACTCACCTAGAACCAGCTGCAGAAGATGCCTGTCCTGATGGCTGGGGGTAGTAACTTCCATCAAGAGCAATGTAAGGGTAAGATGCACCTAATGCTCCCGCAGCACCAGCCAATACAGGGACCCTACACAAGACAAAACGCATGTTCAGGCTTCACTTATATGCAAAGGAGACAAAACAGTACATGGAAAATTTATTTAGATTATTAACGAGCAAAACAACTAATTATAATCTTTGACAAACTACAAAACAGAATTGCTCCGGAACAGATGTAGATAGCTTGCAGCCGCAGGCTTGGTGCATCAAAAGAATAGAAACTATGAATCTGGATATATGCTATCCTTCTAAACAACATAATCAGATTTGAGACACTGACTGAAGAATACTTAAGACTGACAAAAAGAGCACCCAAATAAGCCACAATGCATGAATCATTTTATCCACACAACAGAATAACAGCTTCTAGAAAAATGTAATAAGGATGTACTCATTTTTGATCCAATTGAATAAAACATTTATGTTCAGCCTAGGAGCTTGCTGAAATGAATACCACGTAGAAAATGGAAATAAACCACTAGTATACTATTAGATGGCATGAAGAGACATCATCAATCTTACATACCACGTCATTTCAGAACTTCCAAGACCTTGCTGTGGTTGGGCCACATATCCTGGAAATGCCATGCCAAGAGCAGGAATCCCACCATGATGTTGACCCCCAAATTGCATGACTGAAAAAGAAAAAGGTGAAAGTCATTGTTAGAAAAGAAGCTATAACTACACTATGAAGTTTCTGATGTAAGAATTATAGAGGAATTAAGGAAAGCAGACAAGGGAGTGTCTTTCAGATAAATGGACCGTCTTCAAAACAGAACAAGGCAAAACAAATTGAATTGAGAACAAATTCCCTTGGCAATCTTGATAAAGTCTTACAATCGTTTGCATCAATGATAATTTCGAGCTAGTATTTTTTCTAAAAGGAAGAAACAAAATCTCCCAATGAAAAAGAAAGGGTAAATACGAAACCCCTTAACTTTGTCGCGTTTTACCAATATACTGCTAAAATTAATAAATAAGAGGAAAACCTCCTGAATTAGTTTCACAAAACTACCATGACCGACGGAAATTAGTTTAAGCTGTCATGTATTCTGGACAATCTTGCCTTATGTATTCTCCAATTTCATGAGAGCTTTTCAGGATAGGATAGGATAGTTTAGACATTTTACCATTCTCGTTAATGTTGACTGACAAGTTTCAATAGTTCAGGTGTTTGGTATAATTCTGAAAGGTTAGGGGTTTTCTCTAATTTATAAAGTTCAGGGATCCCTCACAAATTTCAAGGGGCTTTACAGAATTTAGAGAAAACTAGCAAACAATTAAAAGCATTGTCAGACTACCAAATGTCCATTGACAAGATCAATGAATTAGGATTTCGGTTACTTCATATGATTTTAAATATGATGGGTATTAAACAATGAACCTGGCAACAGAGTTCCAGGAAAGTTCTGGTCATTCTGGCTTAGACCCATAGCCCCTGATGCTCCAATAATTTGAGCTCCATTGTACAGAAAAGAACCTCGACCAGCTCCTTGGCTGCCAGTTTTCCCTCTTGCAATAAGTTGAGTCTTAGAATTATTTGAGTCCAAAGGTGAATCTGTCTCTCCAAGTCCAGATGCATTTGTCGTCGGAGCATGAGGAGGAGATGAAACTTGATTTCCACTGGAAGGTCGTCGCTGAACCACCTGTTGAGTAGAAACACGTAGGGCAGGTTGATACTGGGTCTGTGGTCTTTGCTGCCCAAGTGGGGCCTGAAGTTGTTGAGGAGCTCTTGGGACTTGGCTAACTAAATTGGTTGGCTGATAATTTGGCTGTCCAGTAGTGTTTGAATTTCTGCCTTGGGCTCTGGATTGAGAAGTTTGGGTCATATTTGCAGAAGTTAAAGGAGATCCTGAAGACTGCACCTGAGCATTGGCCAGAGCCTTCCCAGCAACAGAGCGAAGAGAATCATCTATGTATTTCCTGTCATGACTAAAAGAATCTTCCGTAGCTTTTGCTCTGAATGTCGAACCAGATTGTGATGACAGGAAATTATTTCCCATGTGCAAAGAAGATGCTACAATCTTATTCGTATTTCCAACATGGGCATCCCTTTTCTGAGTCACAGATAAGTCTTGCTTGGATGAGCCGGAGGGATAAAATGGGGGAGAAGCAGAGTTCAAACTTGAGGCAAATGCATTCTTCCTTGGGATAGCCGGATCGGATTGAACATTTGGAGTCTGTGAGGATGGTTTCCCTGTACCAATATTCAATGTTGAATCTCGAGTTTTTGCAGGCCTGCAGAAATAACGTAAATAACAATAGTCATATTTTCGACATCCGACAAAAAAGAGAGGCAATATCTAATTCAGGGTCACAGAAAACTATTACTTACTGCTTGTTTTGCTTGTTATGAGATGCAGAGACTTCATTGTTCCTAAAGATAGGTTCATAACGTCTTGGTCCCCTTCCTCTCACAGACTTCTGAGGACGGTTTTGGTTGTTACCATCACGGATTTGGCTGTTACCATCACGGTTTTGGTTGTTAACATCATCATAGTAACCTCGAGGCCTGCTGTTGCCTTTAACATAAGCACGTCCAGCAACCCGGGGTCTTCCCCCACCACGGCCCCTGAAACGGCCTCCTCTGGAGTTTCGCCTTCCCTGAACATACTAGCAGAGTATTCAATTTGTGTAAAAGCTACAACTTAAATAAATGACCAATAATTTTGTTAACCAAGATCAGTTAAAGGAAACCAATATACATACAGATGTAAATACTAAGTACACATACATACACACCTACATACATAAGCAGATAGCATGAAGCAGCAGTAAGAGAAGGGCTAGGTTATTAACCCACCTGATCATACCGATCATCGTTCAACTTCATCTCTTCAAACCTATCATGTACCCAAGCACGATCATCTTTGGATTCCCATAGCCTCCGTCCCCCAGGCATACGTCTAAGAAGATGAAAGTACAAAAGAATTAATCCCCCAAAAAAAAGATTCAACAAATATTAACAAAGTCCATATATTTACTACTGCAAACTTACACTCCAACACGCATAGCTATATATCTTCAAGTCACTTCTTAAAAATTTTAGTGCAAGGTGTACCAGATGATTCTCCGTTCACATTTATATGAATGAAGACAATTTCCATAAAGTGAAAATTCAATACATAATTTACCAAAAGCCTAAACACATTTGACAAAAAAGCTTTTGTACTTGTGTACATTGAGCTTGTCCAAGAAAAAATGTTGTAGCTTACCACAGTAAAAGAAAATTTGGATGAAAACTTTTTGTTAATATCTAGTTATAATAGTCTGCTAATGTCATTTGCAAGGATATTTTAGTAGAAAAAAACTCTTTTAATGTAAAACTTAACATTTTACAGATTGAAAGTTATTAGTAATTACAAGCATAAAATGGTGCATCAACAGACAAAGAACATATCTAAGTTGCTCAAGTTATCATGAGACGGGAAGATTTTTCAAAAGCTACGAAGAAACCATACAACATTTTTCAGCATAGATAAAACCTTACCAATTAGTATGATTAAGTTAAAGACAACAAGCACAACCATATAAATGTTTAGGGAAAATTATGCTTTTACTCTGCTCTTGATACACGTAACTGCAGCAAGATAACAACGTGCTCTGCTACAATTACACGTACATACAGCAAGATCCAAAAGGACATAAGAAACTACTGCTGGAAAATAAGATTCCACCAGTACATGTAAATGTAGCAAAATGACAACAACCTCTGTTATCAGCACGCATAAATGCACAGCAAAACATCAAGAATTGGGATGTAAGATTTCACGAATAATATAGACATTTCTTTGAGAATATTTATGCTAATACCATCCTACTTAAGATAGATCATAGATCCTTAATTACAATATTACCTTTCGGAATCAACATAACTCTTAATAAGACATTAGATTCTATCTTACTCCACTTCTAAAACGCAACTTCCACACCTTAATTCTTCTAGCTAAACAAGGCCTAACCTTTATAACTTCAACTAGAGAGACTATAATACAACACTAGTTTCAATGCACATAAAGCACAATTGATCATGATTTAGAGATAGCAAACGATATTGGAAATGAACCAAACCAATTTCAAAAGAAATTCACATGAGTATAGTTTTCAGATTAACAAGAATTTAATACATGCAAGATATGCATGGAGAGTTATGCACAATTGATCATGAATTAGAGATAGCAAACGATATTGAAAATGAACCAAACCAATTTCAAAAGAAATTCACATGAGTATAGTTTTCAGATTAACAAGAATTTAATACATGCAAGATATGCATGGAGAGTTATGCTATTCACATGAGTATAGTTTTCAGATTAACAAGAATTTAATACATGCAAGATATGCATGGAGAGTTATGCACAATTGATCATGAATTAGAGATAGCAAACGATATTGAAAATGAACCAAACCAATTTCAAAAGAAATTCACATGAGTATAGTTTTCAGATTAACAAGAATTTAATACATGCAAGATATGCATGGAGAGTTATGCTCTCAGCAGTGTACCTCAAGCAGTCTGTTTCAAGCACATGCATCCACTTTTAGGAATTCGAGATAGCAAATGATATTCGAAATTGACCAAACCAAGTTTAAACAAAAGCTGCATGAGTAAAGATTTGAAAATAGAAAACTTAACCCAAAAAGGACATTCCTAGTGGAAGTTATGATCAAAACACTAGCAGGATGTCCTGCATGAATTTTCTACACGAGAATTATGTTACAAAATCGACATGCAACCCGTGTTTACACTAATTCTGAGCAAGACAACCATTATTTGATTATATGAGGCCTGAAAACTAGGAATTATCATATTTAACATGTTCATAGATACAAAGATTATATTTTTATCTCTACCTATTGACACGCAAAAGCCAATCTTTGCTTACATGTAACATGCAACCACAAATCCTCACATGCAAGACCAAAAACCAAAATAAAACCCTATAATTCAGATTTAAATCCCCACTAACTACATTAAGAGGAGAATTTGAGATAATATACCTAGGTTTGACGTTTTGCTCCACTTCTTCCTCCAAAATCCTCTAAATAGCTTTTCTGGCGTATTTCTTCTCTCATTCTTGTTCTATTTCTATCACTTGAGAGTGGGATAGCTTGAGAGATAATTAAGTTATGAATTTTTGAAACCAAAAGAGGAAATGGGGCTGTGGGTTTTGGTCGGCCAGAGGAGAGGGAAGGGAGTGAGGGTCTTGGGAAAAATTCTTTTGAAATGACAAAATGAGAGAGAGGGGGAGGTTGAGCATATATTATGCTTGGTTTACAAAAGCACAAATTTTGTTGCTGGTAGTGGATTGTGGGTCCCACCATCCTTTTCAATCCCACTCATTACCATGTGGAAATTTTGTTTCCCATATTTTGGAATGAGTGGGAAGGGGGATTTGGAACATCCCTCCACTAACCAAGCACAACTTTTTTTGTTGCTTCGGTTACCAAAGCATACGCCATATTTTTCTGCATATATATAATAACTATATATATATATATTATATATATATATATATATATATAATAATAATTATATATATTATAATATATATATATGAACTAAATTCGATGTTCAG